CACTCACGGCCCGGCCCCGGCGCGATCCCCCGGGCTGCGGCCCCGAGGGCTCTGCGGAACGGCTCCAGGGCAGGGGGTGGCCCAGGGGCTTGTTCCACCCATAACTGCCCCCTCAACAGCTTGCTGAGAAACAGGCAAGGGATGAACAAGTCCTATAAAGAGCAGCTGAGGGAGCTGGGGGGGGCTCAGCCTGGAGAAAAGGAGGCTCAGGGGGGACCTTGTTGCTCTCCACAACTACCTGGAAGGAGGGTGTAGTGGTTGTCTGTCTCTTCTGAGTAACAAGTGATGGGACAAGAGGACATTATCTCAAATTGTGCCAAGAGATGTTTATATTGGATACTAAGAAAAATTTCTTCTCTGAAAGAGTTGGCATGTGCTGGAACAGGCTGCCCAGGGAAGTGGTGGAATCACCATCCCTGGAAGTGTTAAAAAATGTACACATGTGGTGCTTAGGGACATAGTTTATTTGTGGGCTTGGCAGTGCTGGGTTAACTGTGGACTTGACCTTAAAGGTTTTTTTGCAACCTTAATGATCCTGTGATGGAGAAGCTGAGGAGACAGAGAAGACTGGCACACAGGTACAGAGTGGGGCAGATGTCACCTCCTGCAGTGGTGCTTCACTCAGCTGTGCCAGGATGGGTGTTTGTGTCTGGGTACAAGTTTGGCAGGGCAGTGCAGGGACGCTAGGAAGGGCTGGGAACAGACGGCAGTGCCAGGATGTCTGGGGTCTCCACAGTGGGGGTTCTTGTGTTTCTGTGCTGCCCCAGCCAAGCTGATTGGGGAATCCCTCTCTCTATCCTAATTTTCCCTTGGCTTGTGATTATTCCACTTAACCTCCCTCTGCTTTGCCTGGTCCCTTTCACTGATTTTTCTCCTTGGTTATAGGGCAATAGCCACACCTGTGCTGTGGAAGAGGTAGGAGGGATGGGCTGGAGTCTCTGGCAGAGGGGAAAAATAGCCATGTACAAGGAAACTACCAAACTCCCTAGCATCCCCTTCGCTGTCTGCCTTCCCATCGGCATCCTTGACGCCTCCCTGCTGGCAGGCAGCACCTTGGGATGCATGGAGCACAATTCCCAGTCATTGCATCAGCAGCACAGCTGTTTGCATCTGGAGGCCTGGCCTGCAGGTCCTGAGTTTTGAATTTCACAGTTAGCCAGCAGAGTTTTTTAATTATTATTTTTTATTCTTTATTTTTAAATTTCCTTCTGGAGGGTGGGACAGTTGTTAGTGCTGAAAGCACCACCCGTGAGCACTGGCATTCACTCGAGTAATATCCCCCAGCTTCCCTGCTCCAGGGTTTGAGTCAGCCCCAGGAACCTCCGGCTGTCTGAGTCACTGTTCACTTCCCACTGTCTCCCTCCTGTTGGGACCAAGGGGCCTGGGTGTGGGTGGCCAAAGGGGGCCAGCCCAGTGCTGCTGGCATTTTGTGTGAGCAGGTGACAGAAGCAGCTGCCAGCACTTGGCAGGTGCTGAGTCTGCTTCTGATCTGGTGCTCCTGCTCTGTCAAAAAAGAGGCAACTGAGCATGAGGTCGTCCAAAGGTGTGGAGAAGCTGGAGATGCTCCAAGTGTCCATGTGTGAGGGAAGGCAGAAGGAAAGCAGGGCAGAGCTGAGCTCTCCCAGCATCAGTGCCTGGGATGCAAGGGCAGGCTAAGCAGCTCTGATCATGGGAAGCAAGCTGTCCTGACAGCTGGTGTGGCTGCTGCTTGGATTGAAGGCTCAGGAGTTGCTTTTTTTTTTCCCCTTAGATGCCACATTTTGCCTCAGGGCCACCCTGGATGGGGTTGTTCATCCTCTTAGTCACTCCTTCATGGGGGGATTTCTGCTGGGGTATAACCTATCACAGCTGCTGTTAGGGAAAGAAACTGGTCCCTCTTCCTTGTCCTACTCATTTTGGGCAGCAGGTGTGAGTCCTTTCATGTGATGCTGTTTCCTTTTCCACCTTTTTTGTCTCCCCTCCACCTATGCCTGCTCTGCTTCTGGTGAACCCCAAGGGATTTCCCCTTGTGCAAGTCTGAGTTTTGCATTTGCTCAAGATTGTAGGTGATTTTGTTGGGTCAGATCCTTCACCAGAGACCATCCCAAACATCTGATGTGTCTAATCCAGATGCCCTCCTTGGGGTCCTGAGCTGGTTCCCACTGCATACCCTGAGGGCTGGCCGTGACTAGAGGCTCCTGGCCTTTGTCAGACCCTCTGGAGTTTTAGCAGCCGATTTCCCCCAGCATCTGGGTCTCAAAGCATGACTGAAAGCTATTCCTTGTGCTGCAAAACTCCTGGGCCTAGTGGGAGAGGCTGCTTGCAGTGTGGTCCTTACAAAGGGACACACTTGATCTTCGTGGGCATTTTCTCCATGACCTCCCCTGGCAGGTACCTTCCTCTCTGAATTTTTTTGCAGTGTTACCAACAACTCTTGTTTCAACCCCCAGAGGCATTCCCCTAAGGCACAGGTGAACAACATAAATCAGGCTAGAGCTCCCCCTTCCCACCTGAGGCATCAGAGGCAGAGTTGTACTTGGAGTTGCTGAGGAGATACCTCACACTTTTCTACAAACAGCCTTCCCTTCTGGTGGGTTGCCTCAGGACAAAATACCAAGCTCCTTGGGGAACTCTGGGGTCTTGAAACTGCTCCCCTGATGATTTCTCATGAAGGCCCTTGAGACCCAGGACCTGCTGCTAGACCTTTTTTGTTACACTGTTCTGCAGCAGCTGCTGGCTGTGGGACATGCGGCTCTGCCTGCAGAACCTTCACTGCTGCTGACGTGGAGATGGCCATGTCTAGGATGTACCAGCTGCTGATTTACTGATTTTCCTCCCTGTTGTAGAGCTGGCCTCGGCCTTACTTATATCCCTTTGAGGACTTTGATGAAGTCCTTGTACCCTGGTTCTAGGCTCACTTAAATTTCTTTTGGCCAGTGTTGAACTCATCAGACACTGCCAGTCATGGCTTGGCTCCAGAATGGGTTTGTGAGGATGATATCTGACACTCACCCCAGGGGCTGTTCCACCCCTGATGCTGTTTTTCCCATTTTTATCTTGGGATTTAATCAAATTTGGGGCACTCTGAATCATTTCAAGCTGAACTGCATGAGTTTTCTCAAGAGAGAATGTACCAAGCCCTGTTTCCTCAGCCCCGGTAAGGACCAAAAGATAGCCTTCGAGTGCGCAGGTCTCAGCACGTTTCAGCCAGCACCCAGCCCAAAAGTACTCTCCAGCTTTGCCTTCTCACTTCTGCAAGGCTCCTTTGCTCACCTCCTGCTTTTTGGCTTCTCCCTGTCTCAGCTTCCCCTGGTCTTTCTGCTTCCCTTTCACAGTCCACCAGAAAACAAGAGCTGGCCAAAGCTCATCCGCCCACGGAGGCTTTGTGCGTGGCTGCCTTTGTAGTGAGCAGTGACAGGGATCCATGCCCAGGGTGGTTACGACCGTGGGATGGTTTAGAGGCCACCACCCGTCTTGCCCTTGGTGAAAGTGATGGATGGAGGGAGGGATGCTGTTTCCTGGGGTGCAGCAGGGCTTGATGTGACCTTTGCCAGCCGTGTTTATAATGGGGGAAAACGTGGGGTCATGGCAACCCTGCTTCAGACACATCCCCTTGGATGAGAGCCAGGAGATTCTGCTCCTTCTGGAGCTCCTTCTGTTCTACACCTCTGCTTCTCTCTACTGCCTCTCTGCAATTCTGGCAGCAGGTGGGGTATCCCCAGCGACAGGCAAGGCAGTGGCACAGGCAGGAGTGCTTTGTTTTGGACCACGAGGCCCTGATGCCATGCAGATGGGCAGGCAGTGTATGCAACAGGAATGGCACAGTGAGGGGCAGGAGAATCCATGCAGCGGGAAAAACAGGATGGAGAATAACAAATACAGCAGCAGGAACATGAAGAGAGTCTCTGGGCATGCCAGCATTGGGACACTGTTTGTTTGGGGTGATGAATGGGAGAACAGGGTGCCTCCAGAAGACACCACTGGTTGCTCAAAGAGTGACTCCAAGCTCGTTCACCTCGGCCTGAACGTCCTGGCTGTGGTGATTTAGGAGCCCAGAGGCATTTATTTCAAACATCAGGTCCCTTTATCCTTGCCAGCGTTTAAGTGCCTTATGGCCATTGATTCCCAAGGGCATTCCGTGCCTGCAAGCCCCTGGTTCTTTGCCGTGGGCACTGAGCAATCTGGGGGAAAGTCAGCACAGCTCCAGGTCTTGCCCAGACTAAAACAGGTGTGCAACATGCTTGGGGGCAGAGGGAGAGGCTATTCCTGGGAATGGATTCATGTTCAGGTGACCTTAGGGGATGAGGAGTGCACTTGGCAGGCTGGAGGCAGCACAGCCTTCCCCAACCCTCTCCCGCCAGCACTGGATGCATGACTGGGAGGGAAACTGGAGCATAAACGAGAGCTGTAAATCTGCCTGGAAGCTGTTGGGGAAGCAGTCCCTGGAGGAGCCTGTATTGCTTTGGGTTGCTGTGCTCTAATTCTTAAAAGCTTTGGCTCACAGATAAAAAGCTTAGCCTCTAATCCCATCCCGCCAGAGCACTCCTACAGAGAGCAACTCAGAAACACCTCACTCTTCAGCCTCTCCTCCCATCCATGCTCTTCCTCCCTTCTCCATCCTGCCTCTCTGGCTCTGCCATTCTTCCTGGCTACTCCACCCACTCATCCAAATTATTTTGAATGGGGGCTGGGGTGTCTCCCCTGGTGGAGCACCCACTGCCCAGCCTCTGACCACCTTAATTTACCTGCTGCCGAGGACCCAGCCTGGGCTCCAGGGAGGAATGGTGATGCTCTCTGGTCCTTACCGGCTCTCCTATCTCTTTCCATCCCTGTCCCCGACCTGCTGCAGGTGTCTTCAACAACTGCTCGCACTCGGCCAGCGACAAGGGCTGGGCGCTGGGTATCCGCGCCCTGCAGCTCAGAGGCAAGAAGGACGCGCGCTTCTTCTTCTCCCTCCGCACGGACCGGGCAGCCACTGCCACCGAGGTGACCTCCCACCACCGCTACCGCCCTGAGGCATGGACACACCTGGCTGCCAGCTACGATGGGCGGTGGATGTCCCTCTACGTCGATGGGGTGCGGGTCGGCCGCTCCGGCGGGCAGGAGGGACCCCTGCACAGTGCCTTCATGTCCTCCTGCCGCACGCTGCTGCTGGGGGGCGACGCCTGGGGGACCACCCACACTTTCCGGGGACACCTGGCTGGGCTGGCCCTGTGGCGTGGTGCCCTGTCCCAGTCCCACCTCCAGCGTTCCTTTCTAGAGGAGGTGGCTGAGGAGACGGAAGGGCTGGCTCTGGCCGCTGGCTTTGCCACCCCGGAGGAATGCTGGACGCCTTTTCGGGAGGGTGCCTTCCCCCAGCAGTGGGTGCTGCTGTCGCCGCCGTCGCCCATCCTGCGGCCGCTGGGCCCCCCTGCCTGTGGGCAGACTGCCTGCGATAACGTGGAGCTGGTCTCCCACTACAACCAGCACTGGCCGCTGCGGAGCTGGAAGGTGCTGCGCTACCGCGTGGTGAACCTGGCGGAGGATGATGGAGGGCGGCCCACGGTCAGCTGGGAGCAGATTTGGCGGCAACACCGGGCTCTGAGCGAAGCTTTCCGGCCCTACAACATCTCCTGGCAGCTGAGCTTGCTGGAGGTACGCAACTCCTCTCTCCGCCGCCGCGCTGTCCTCCTGGGCTGCGAGCCCAGCAAGGTGGGCAACGAGCGCTGTGACCCCGAGTGCGAGCATCCCCTGACCGGCTACGATGGCGGGGACTGCCGGAGGCCCGGCCGCTGCTTCTCCTGGAAGCGCCGCGACGGCGTCTGTCACATGGAGTGCAACAACATGCTGGATGACTTCGATGACGGCGACTGCTGCGACCCTCGGGCCACCGATGTGGCCAGGACCTGCTTCGACCCCGACTCGCCCCAGCGGTAGGTGTGGGGCATGTGGGGGTAGTATGTGAAGGGATGGGATGCACCCTCTCCCCAGCACCTGCTCTGCGCCTGGGCATTGCTCTGCGCCTGGGCATTGCTTCTGACCGCTGGCTTTCCAGTGTGGGAAGACAGAGGGGCATTTTCCCATGGGATGGGTGTGTGTGTTTGCAATCAAAAGAAGTAAATCCTGCGGTGTGACACGGCACCCCTCTGTGATACCCTGGCAGCGAGTGTTTTTCTCTCCCCAGGGACACTCCTCCCAGGGGGATTCCCAGTGCAGAGCTGACAGCTTCTGGTTACATGCCAGTGGGAATGTGGGCATCCCTGGCGTGGGCAGAGCAGCCTATGCACAGGATATTGCTTACCCTGATCCCCCCATGGCATGTAGTTGGGGAATTGCTGCCCTTTCCCACCTTCCCTGGATGTGCCTAAAGTCTAGTTTCTTAATTTGTGTTCAAAATGCCTTTTCTTGAGTGCTAGAGTGGGGAGAAGAAGGCACCCCAGAAGTGCTAGATGTGAGGTGCAGGATTTGGAAAGGTGTGGGTGGGTGTGCATAAGCCTTCCTGAATCTTGTCCCAGGGAGTGATGGCCACAAGGAGATTCCCTTGGTTGGAGGAGGAGTTGTGCCTTTACTGTGTACTGCAGGTGAAAATCCACATGGACTAAAACCCATGCAGCATCAAAATGCTATGATAGGGGACCCTTGCTCTCTCCAGGGGTCTTTGGAGTCAGCAGCAAGGGGGGAGTTGGGGAGGACAACCCATTCACATGATGGGGGACCCTGGGTTGTTTGGAACAGTGTCCTTGGTGCAGTCGGTGCCTTGCACCCACCTGCCCTCCTTGCTGGAGCTTCTGAAGTGCCGACAGCCCTGTTGATGGCTTCCAGCACTCAGGGCTCTGCTAAATATACTTTCTGGATGAAGATGGGAAAAGGGGGAAAAAAAATAATGTTTTTTCCTTTTTTTGTTTTATTTAAAGCCATTTTTGTCTCAGTGTCAGAGAAAGCTCATTCCTGCTGTTGGCTCCTGTTGACAGGCAGAGGTGTCCCCTGGAGCGTGAGCAGTGCAGCACAGATGGCAGCATCTGTTGAGAAAAGTTGCAAGGGAGGGTTTTAGGGACACATCTCTCCTTTGATCTTCTTTCTCATTCACTTTTCTTTCCCTGGGCTGTGGGAGCAGATAGGCTGTAGTCATAAATCCCTTTTTCCCAGGTCTGCCTCTTTTCTTTGCTCCTTCCCAGGCAGGACATGGAGGGAGGAGGGAAGCAGGCGTCTCTGGGCAGTGGTGATACAGAGGAGCAGCACTTTTTTCCTTCCTTCCTCTTTCTCATCTATCCTTAAGTTGCCTGAGAAAACACAGGGGGAGGATGAGGCACCTTTCTTCCAATGCATCCCAGCAATACAGAGAGGCATCACACCGTGTGCCTGCCCAAGCAACCCTCCCCAGATGTTTTCCCACCTCTGGAAGTGTCTTTGGTGACAGCCACCATTGCCACCCTGTGGCCACCTGTCCCCTTGTTTCCCATGCTGTGAGCCAGCATGGCAGTGCTTTCTGATCATGGAGCAGATGAAAAGCCTGCACAACAACTCTCAACTTGTGGTGGCTACCAGCACCCAACACCACTTGGCCTTGGCTTTGCAGGGCAAAGGCTCTGTCCTTGCCTCTGTATGCAGTTAGAGAAATGTTTTTATCCTGAGACAAGAAGGGCTCCACCTTAAATTGAAAAAGGCCAAATTTTTGCTGGTATGAATCAGGGCTTCCATTTGTCAGGATTTTCCCCTGAAAGTTGGGAAACAAAACAAAACAAAACAAAAAAACACCCCTTGCTTCTGTGGGAAAGGAATGGGAAAATGGGAACACTAGGGAAATAACAAATCTTTTGCAATTTTCTTTCCGCAGACCTCATTGGTCTGCGTAGACAACAAGAATGATTGATTTTAGGCTAGGACAGAAAAATGAAATCCAGTGTGCCTGGCATTTGGGAAATGAGGGGACATGGGTTGAATCCTGCTGCCACTGAGGTCTTCTGAGCTTCTTTTGGCTGTCTTCTTCACAGATCACAGAAAAAAGGAGTTATTGAATGGTTTGGGTGGGAAGGACCTTTAAGTGCATCCAGTTCCACCCCTCCTGCCATGGGCAGGGACACCTTCACTGGACCAGATTGCTCAAAGCCCCATCCAGTCAGGTGGTGCTGGTGGACATCCACCCTCCCTGTGCTCATCTCTACTGAGGATGGTTTCTGGGGAAGAATATATATGTTTGTGGGAAAACTGCTGGGAAACTAGTAGTGTGTGTTTGAGAAAAATCGAGGTGAGCTTGTGCTTGCTGAAGAGCATGGCCAGGTTTGTGGTGTTCCCCCAAAATTGGTGGGTGAACCCAAAGACACAGAAGCAGGGGACCTCAGCCTGAGGGGTATTGTTCAGGCAGAGCTCCTGCTGAGTGCTGCTGCATTTGCTGCAAGGTATTATACTAAAATGAGCAGGGCGACTGGCAAACTTACAGAAGGATTTTTGGGGTGGTAGCCAAAACGGGAGAAATAATGTGAAATAAAATTTAACAAACTGCAGAAAGGTGACACAATAGGAGCCAGGTGCTTTGGTGTGAACAACAGCTCCAGGTCTGCAACTGAAGGGGAGCAAGCTGGCTGCTGCTCACCCAGACTTCTCTGCTTCCTCATACCTGTGCCAAAGCCTGGGAGGGAGCTGTGGCTTCGGGACAATCAGGAGAGAGGGAACCCCCACTGCAGGTGATCTCTGCATCTGCTTTCAGGTCAATATGGCAGGACCAAAAAAATCTTAGGATCTTTTTTTCATGGATTAAATCATCTCCATTTCATGGCTTTCACCAAGAGTGGTTTGGATGTAAACCTTTCTTACTATGGCCAAATAGAATTGAATTGAGAAAAGGGCGAGATGCTGGGCAATTTCTTAGCAGCATTGTAGACAGATTCAATATATTTTGGTGAAGGGTCTCAACACCATGTCTCGTCCTTCACAACTGTAAGCACTCAAGCAAAAGCTTTTTCCATCTTAACACATTCCTGATTTAAAATTCCCTTTTGGGCTGCAGCTTAGAGAGAGGTAAATTAGAGGAAAGAGCTGAGGAATAGTGGTGGCTTCAGTGCTTCTTAGCGGGTGAACATCTCATTTTACTTCCAGGGCTACAGCTGGTGCCAGCTTATAGCCTCACCCAGAGGAGAGAAATGAAATTTTGAAGGAAGGATTATTAATTATTTTTTTTTTTACAAGGGTATGTAGTGACAGGACAAGGGGGAATACTGAAGGAGGTCAGGTTTAGATTTGATATTAGGAGGAAATTCTTCCCTGTGAGGCTGAGGAGGCTCTGGCACAAGTTATCCAGAGAAGCTGTGGCGGCCCCATCCCTGGAAGTGTAGGCCAGGTTGGACAGGGCTTAGAGCAACCTGGGATAGTGGAAGGTTGGCAGGGGTGGCACTGGATGGTCCCTGCCTACACAAACCATTCCATGGTTCTATGAAACCCACCAGTGGGACTGTGCATTTGTGGCTGGAGGGAGACTTGAGCAAGAACTCATGTGGAGAGTTGTGTGTAGACATCCCTGCAAGGCACCCCAACAGGAGACGTGAGAAGCAAGTCACAGACTTCTCATTCACTCTTGGTCCACCTTATGTGGAACAAGGGGACAGGCAACATCAGGAGAGTTACTGACTATCATCCTTCACCCAGTTTTATCCTGACTGCAAGCATCTTCCAGGAGTTTCTGGCAGTCCAATGTCGGGGTCTGGAGTAAAATTTGCCTTGATTTTCTGCAGACTCCCATCTTCTTGCAGAGCTCGAGTGCTGCTGTAATTGGTGCTCTTGGAAGGAAAGCAGCAACAGCTCATTAGCATCAATTAACACTCAGCGAGGGTCCCCCTCGGGCACTTAGTCAATGAGAATCTGGTGTGTGACACAGTTAATGTGAAAAGAAAAACCGGAGGGGAGTCTGGAGAGCAAAGTGGGTAAGGGCAGAGCTGCTGGGCCTTTCATCTTGCTGCCCAAAGTAATGGCAGAAATAACCGAAGTGACAAAAGGAAGTGAAAAATGATGAGGTGTCTCCAGGCTAGGTGGCCTCCGCTGGGATGACCAAAGTTGTGATGTTAAAATGCACCTGATTAACAGGACACTTGATGGGCTTTAACGCGGGCTTAACTGGCCTCCCTCCTAAGGGACTGATGCTTAATTGGGTTAAGGCTGCTTGGGAGCCTCCTGTAGTTTAAGCCTTGTCTTCAAAAGCTGGTCCAGATTAACCTCATTAAAAGTCTCTGGTGGACATCCACGAGGAAGAAGGAATCACTCTGAGCTATCCTCAGGCACCTGAGCAGCCCCTTGTCAGGAGATGTCCAGCTGAATGTGGTTGGACCTGAGAGCATAAAGGGTGTCAAATCGAGAGCAGGTGAGGAAATGAGGTGTCTTGGGGCCAGAGCTGACCTGCCTAGGCCTTAATCCCAACCAGATAGTAAAACAGCATTCAAATTAGCTGCTCCCTTCCCCTTCTCCCCTTGCTACAGGAAACATTAGTAGGTCTTTCTCACTGTGAAAGAGGGCAGGTAAGTGCAAAGTTATTGCAAAAGTAAAAGCCTTGTGTACAACCTTAGGCCACAGGTGCTGTTGCAGAGAACAGATTCAACTGGAGATGATAGGTATCTGCTGCTTGTGGTGGCTGGTTGCTTGAAGGGTGGATGGGAGAAGGTGTTTTCAGTGATTTTCGCTGCCTGTGTAGTGGCAGAGACTATGTTGGTCCCATGAGGAATGCATGGCTAAGAGGTTCTCTGCTCAAAACCTGAGCTCTGGCTGCTTTTGAGCTCCCTCCGGCACCTCTTGGAGTCCTACTGGCATGTGCCCAAAGATTGCCCTGGTGTATCCAAAGAGCCTCAAGTGCTGGGCTTGGGGCTTTAAAGTGGTGAGAAGGGGTGTGCTTTGGAGACACTAAAAGTGGCAGTGATTGGTTCACTGGCTTCTGAGCTGTCTGCTTCTAGTC